CTTAAGGGTCCTAGAATGAAGTTAAAACTTGTTCAGAGTCATCATTATCGCTTGACGCTAATGCAACGCTCGATCCCTGGTGCTGGTCTGAAGTGTTCCTCAGTGCATTTTCCAAGCACAGTAAGTTACACCTTTTGAGCAAGGTTTGCTCCCCAACCCCGTTTTTTCCTCTGGTTTTGTATCATTTAAGCAACTGGGATTATTGGAAGGTGCATCTGGTTTTGGAGGCCGTCCCCTCTGAATGGCCATGCACATGAAAGCAGCTTGCTTTTCTTCCTCAGAACAAGCTTTGCTGCATCACACGTTCCGCTCCCGACACCCAATATTTGGAATGCAGTGTGGGACAGGTAATCTGAGCTTTGCTTTAATAAACCTTGCAAATCCCAGAGTGTGAAACTACTGGCAGTTTCCGATGGGGTGCAAACTCCAGGCTGTTACCTTATTAAAATGAAGATTTCGTGGGTGCAGGTGAGGTCTTGTGAAAGGGTGAGAACCTACTTGATGGAGTGGGAAGGGGATGAGCAGATTTTGAGGTGGAACTCTGCCTCCACTTGACTAGACAAATGAAATAAATTAACTAAAAAGACTCATTTGTCTGAGGATTTCCTCTTTGACCTTGTCTTTACTCGGGGAATTTTGCAAACCGCTGTGAGTGCTGATGGTGCAAAGTCTGACATGGGTAGACCACTTAGTCTTTGCAGAACTTAAGCTGCTGTGTTTTCTCTTGCACGTAGGGCTCATCTACCACATGACTCCTCATTAGCTCTTTGAAAATAACGGTGCCTTGTCATTAGGCATGTCTAATGCGCGGTTAATCAGTAAGGGCTTTTCTCCATAGAGTTATTCCTGACGTGGCATATCCAGAGCATGCACCCGTGGCTTTATGATCATTTCAATGCCTACTACTGTATTGTGCAAGGGACTCGGATCCTGTTGGCACGTACCATGGAGGGAGGGAAGCGTTAGAGCATCTGTTACAGATTCCCGACATCAAATCTGCCTTCGTGTCTTCACTGACTGTAGGGAGGTGGTTGCTGGCAATGCAAGGGAGTAGGTGGTGTGAATCTGTCAGTGCTTTCCTGACCTTAGACACCTGAGGCCAACTTCAGCGATGTAGTATCATAGAAGAGAATCCTGGAATCATTAATGTTGGAAAAGACCTCCAAGATCATCAAGCCCAACTGTCAACCCAACACCACCATGGCTACTAAACCATGTCCCGAAGTGCCACGTCTACATGTTTTTTGAACATCTCCAGGGATGGGGACTCCACCACCTCTCTGGGCAGCCCGTTGGTGGTCTGGACACTGCCAAATGCACTTGTGTAGGGTGGAGCTGGCCTCTTCTTTTAGCAGCGTTGGAGCTGGCTGTAAACAAGGGCGAACGATTTATAAACGTGGTTTTCTAATCTAGATGAAACTTTGTGCAGAGGGGAGAGGGGGAAATATCCCATCTTTGAATCCAGGACCATGAAATCTTACTGTATTTAATAGGAGGGAAGTTAATATCTTAGGAATAACTGTTTGGGCTGGGTATATTCTTTAAATAAATACTTTTTTTTTTTTTTTGAAAGCTATCTCTAAGCTGCGATTCTGCTGCTAAATAAGGAATGCTAATGAATGTCCCGTCAACCAAAGGTCATATCTATTCCCCGAGAGTTATTCCAGTCGCTGGCTCCTTACCACAGCTTTGGTTCTCTTTAGTTCATGGCAGTCTTTGATACCCTTCCTTAAGCGGCATAAACATGTAATTTTTCTGTATAACCGAGTGCAGTTCCTGAATGCAGGGTTGTAAAGCTGTCTGCTGTAGGTGGTGAGCGAAGTGGTGAGTATCTCTTCCTCAAAAAATTGTAGAGAAAACCAGAATCCTGGGAAGGATGGGTGGAAATCTCATCCATGAGTCCAGTGTCCTGAAATGCTGGTGCTGGGAGCACTTGCGAATGGTCCTGGAGCTGATTCCTCCATGACCATGAAGGACATATCCGTGAAGCAGAGTCTGATCTGTCCTGGTGGAAGGTTGCAGTGGCCAAAGGCTGAGGAAACTGGAACGGGTTGCCCAGAGAGGAGGTGGAGGCCCCATCCCTGGGAACATTCAAGACCAGGTTGGATGGGGCTCTGAGCAACCTGATCTGGTTAAAGGTGTCCCTGCTCCCTACAGGGGGGTTGGGCTGGGTGACCTCTAGGGGTCCCTTCCAACCCAAAACATTCTATGATTCTATGAAACTTGTCCATCACTGCTGGTGTAGGTTGCTGGGCAGATAGCGGAATATGCTAATGGTGCTCCAAAGCTCCTGCCCCCTTGTCCTCTGAGCTTCTTGGGTGTAAACCCATGTATGAGCAGGTTTGGTTCTTGCACCCAAATCTGAATGGTGGCAAAACCCCTCTGTAGCTCTGAGGCAGGAATATACAGCAAAGCTGATGTAGAGGAAGATCATCTATTACAGGAGACCCACCCAGCATAGGCTGACTATATTTAGAGATCGTGGACCTAAATCTAACATAAATTGAGCACGAATCTGGAGTCGTTCCACGTGCTCCAGTGAAGATGCTTTGGATTCACGCTAGTGTAAATGAGATCAAAATCTGGCTGCTTCTTGAAGATGGCCGGAGAGTGCGTGAATGAAATCCCCAGCAAAAATAGAGACTGGCTCTCAGAAACGAGCCCCCCAGCTGGCGAGACTCGTCAGAGCACTGGAGCTATTGAAAAACGCTGCAGACAGAAAATGAATTAGAGGATAAAAAAGTGAAAATGAGCTGGCAGAATCTTTAGGTGACTCATCAGGTGCATCTTGTAAAGTCTCTTTCTGAGAAGTAATGAAATCGCATGTTCTAACAATATTTGCACTGCAGCAGGAAAATGCATAAATATTGGGATCAATTAATGAAATTATCTAATTTGACCAAAAAAGCCCTAGCGCTGGCTCAGAAACCATCCCTCTTCCTTTTTGCTAGTCTTGGTGCTTGCAGTTGGAGAGGAAAATCCTGTGGTTTTGTTTCACATCACAGATAGGCAGGACCTGGGTAGCCACAGGGCTACTGGGATGCTTTGGGCAGTCATCTGCAGCTCGAGGACTTCCACTTTCACCCCATGGAAGTTCTCGAGCTGGTGGGCAGGCAGGTGCAGAAAAGCCCTGGCAGCTGTCTGGGCATGCAGCCTCCCACCCTTTGGATTTTAGGATTGGTGAGGGTATACACACCTTGTCTCTGCCAACCCCAAAGATTCTCTTTGTGTCCCTCGACCTCCGTTTTTCAACTGTAAAATGGGGAGAGATGATTTTCCTTAAAAAGGGAAGCTTCCCTCAGGAAAGAGCCCTGTGGATATGTGCATCAGCCTGTGACATTTAGATAGTCCAGTAACTCGTCGCACGCGGTGGGGTTCATCACGGAGCTTCAATTCTGGAGCGAGAGCTGCATTTGGAGTGAAATACTGGGATTGCTGGTATTGATGGGTCAATCTATGCTATTTATAACCCAGTAATTACCTTATTCCAACGGTATTTTAATGGATTTGTATTTGGGGAAGACACTAAACCTCGTGTGAAGAAGAACGGCAGAAAGGGGCTTAATTTATACCATAATAATGATGAAATCTAAGCGTGAACGCCTGTGTTGCAGAACGCACACACGGTGCTTGGGTGGGTATTCTGGTGGGTAATCATGAGCTCTCCAAGCAAAAAGAGCTATCGCCGGCTTCGGATTTATCAACAGCAAGAGCAGAACTCATCAGGTTAGCCTACCCTTGGATTGGCACCGCTACAACTGTTGTTGGAATAATTTGTCTGGTTTCTGGCGTCCTTGATTCAAGAGGATGTTGACAAATTGGAAAGATATAAAAGAGCCACGAGGGTGGTTAAAAGATTGGCAAACGTGCCTTGCCAACGAAACAGCCAGTCTCCTGGCTCGGAGGAATTTTATATTTTCTTTTTTTCTTTAAGTGCAGGTTAAAGGGTGGCTTTAGCAGCTCCGAGTACCTGTGTGAAGAACAAAAATAGACGGCACCGGCGGCAGTCAGACAGAGGTGCAACACAAGCCGGTGCCTGGAAGTTGAAGCCAGACTTGAGCTGAGCAGAACAGTTCTTAATAGGAAAAGCAATTGATCTGTTGTGGTATTTCACAGGAGTCCTGGTTCCTCATCCTTCTCTAGAGTTATAGACATCAAAATGGAGTTGTGTTTTTTTTTTTTTTTTTTTTAAGGTTATAATTTGCATTTAGGTGTAATTTTTGGAGGAAAGCCTTCTGGCTTTATTAAGCGGGGGGCAAACCATGGGTTTATGTATACGCCAGCGCATCTCTTGACGTTGTGCACCTACTCGTTAGCTCTATCTGCACCTCACGCACGATGTTTCTTCCTCGGTGCTCGTAGAGGTCCACTGTCTCAGCCAGATTTGAGGTGTTTTGATGCTGCCGAGTTACAGTCAGTAAATAACAGTCGGCACTCGTGAGAGTTTTAACCGAGATTTTTTTCCTCTTCGCGAGCATTTGTCGGCGCGTTTCCCTTGTGAAGAAATGAAAACTAGCGGTGGTTTATTCTGAATCCAGGTTTCATTTGAAGAGATGCTTCTCGCGTTTCCCTGCAGGGCTCGCTCCACCTTTGTTCCCCAGCAAGGCTCCATTTCCGCAGGAAGCTCGCCCAAGGAGAGGCTGTGCTAAATTTACCTTGAGATCTACGCGCGGCAGAGTTGCGGAGATAATTCTCCATTTGTAAAGCTTATCGCCGAGTGGGAGGTCTGGCTGTTGTTGTTCTTTCTTACCGTTCGATATAAGAAAGAATATCTTCTCTGCCTGGCTGGTCATACTGGCCACAGACTGGAAGAGGCTCGGTGTGTGTAAAGGGTCTTTAAATACACCCAGAAAGGGTGCAGAAAATGCATCTGTTCTAAAGCAGCCCCTCGCGTTCGTTTACTACAGCAGCTATAAAATGAGTACTTGGGGTTTGGTATAAAACTACACTGCTCGTTTTTTTTTTTTTTTTAAATGTGATCTTCTCTTTTATTTTTCTAGCTGTGGGGAGCTCAAAAAATAAAGCAGGTAATACGCTTTTTTTTTTAAATATTTCATGGTTGTTTTCAATTATTGCTGCTTTTTTTCCCTTTCCGCTAAGCGATGCTGTCCTCTTCTCCATTATTGGCTTTGCCAGTTGCTGTTTTGTCTTGCCGCAGAAATGTAAATGCAGAGAACACTGTTGCCACCAAAGAGTCTGATTTTTTTTTTTTTTTTTTTTTTTTTGTATTTATATATTTTGATGTCTTCATTTTCTCCTTCCTGTCTAGTCAAGAGATTTCTTGTCTCCAGTCTTTTGAAAATAGTTTGACAGTTCTTTGGTAAGGCTTGTAGCTGTGTCGTACCTTCCTCTTCTGCAGTCCCAGATCACTGATTTTTCATCCCCAGCCAGTTAATGCCAGCGCGACCACCTGGGCTCATAGTAAAATTGGGTAAAAAGGGGCCAGATGAGCTTTGTTGTCTCTTTATCAGTCTAACAGGTTTAGGATTTCTGTGCAGGTTGGGTTGTCCATGGCCGCCAGCGTTGGCTGAGAAGCTCTGGATACACGTAAAGGTTGAATTACCTGGCATATCCAAATCCCATGGCACTGGAGGGGATTTTATTTGGGGTGACCCTTGTGGTGACAGCCAGAGTGACCCATACCTGCACGTTTTTATCCCAACTCAGCCGGATCCTGAAGCAGCATTCAGGCTCCCTACAGCGTGCCGTGCGGGCATACCTGCAGGCGGGGAAGATGTTCCCCGGAATGAATCCATCCGCCGAGGCTGAGCCACACACGTCCTTCAGAAGGTCTCCTGTGACGTCCTTCCAAAGGTCTCCTGTGACCCCTTCACTTCACGAGTAGCATGAAGTGATTTACGCCCTTGTTCCCTCTCGAGCAGGCGGTCCTGCCCTCCCCATCCTTCTGCCACCACGAGGGCTTTTCCCTACTTTTGTAGGGCAGAGTTTCAGCCAGGACATTAAACTGCACCTCAGTGGAGATCCTGAAAACAGGCAAGGACAGAAAATAGGTTTCCCTTTTCCCCTCCTAAATCTGCTTTGCTCCCCCTCAGGGTTAAGGTTGGCCCTTGGGGCCACTATAGTACCAAGAAAGAGCCGCTTCCTATGTTTCAGGTTAAATTATTTACTTCTAAATTATTAACATATGCTAAATCATTGAAGGAGAGGGGAAAGCAGTGGCAGGAGGAGGTTTTGTGGAGGCTGCTGAGCAATATCAGCCTTTGGTCGGGGCTGCAGAAGCAAGGAGGGTGCTGAGACGCAGTGGTCCCCTGGTCCCCCCCGGTGGAGGTGCTATCTGTGGAGGTTGGGCGCTGGCTTCGCTGCACTTTGCCAACTGCTGCTGTGCCTTCACCGTGTCCTTTTGCTGACTCTTTTACAGGCCATCATCCATCCCGATACGAATGAGACCATCTTCATGCCTTTCCGAATGTCAGGTATAGTATGTCCCGGTCAGACAATCATTAATTTTCCTGGGAATTTGTACAAAATGTTGTGATGTTGTTTTTTTCCCTCCGGTTTTTGAATTGCATCCTGACAACATTTAGATCAAGATCAGAAAGTAATTCAAATGCCTAAATCCCTCTGCAGTCGGGGAGAGTTAGGATCCTAAATGCCTATGTGGAATCCAGTGCTTAATATTTTCCTTTCCTTCAGATGTTTTAACGTGGACTCAAGCTAATGCCTTTTCTGGCATTTTTGAGGTATCCATCACTATAATTGGCATTTTAATTTAGCAAACAGGGAAGCTTGATGGTTCAGCTTAGGGTTTTACTCTCCAGGAGAGAATGGGCTGAGCCCCGTTTTCCCATGTGCGGTGGTACCCAATAGCCCTGGCACTGGGAGCCCAGAGAAGATCAGCTAGTCCATGGCTTAACCAGGCTGCTTAATTATTAAATTGTCATTTTGGGAATTTGCCTTCCCATTTTGGGGTGTCCCTCTGCCATGCACAGGTCCACAGCTACCTCTGCGGTGGGTTGAATAGCAGCTCTCTTGAGGATCCAAGTGCAGCCTTGGTCCTTTCCCAAAGAACCTATTAAAATCCATAAGACCTTTTCCATATTTTTAGGGGGGAGCATCTTCACCTGAATAGTGGGCACAGGGGAAAAATAACAGCCTTGGTGGGTTTTGTTCTCCAGATCTTTGAAGAAGGGTGATGTTGAGGGTGAAGTGGAGGGAAAAAAAACCAGGACCCACTGCTTTCCTGCCTTGTTCTGTATTTTTTTTTAGATTTTTCTTCCTCTCGGGTCCTTGCCCTTTCCGACTGTAAATTGGATCCATGAGGCTTAATGCAGTAATATTGGTAAAATGCTCTGAGACCTTCTAGTGGAAGTCATAGAGATGAATTATAATTAGCACAAAAATTGGCAGACTTAGCAGGGGAAAAATGTGAAGCACTTGATTTTTGTGGCGCTTGATAAGATTTGGGGTAAAGGCTGATCTCTAATACAGAGAGCTTTAACTTACACCTATGATTAAAATAGTCCCTCGCTCCTCCATGATGCAAACGTAATTTCTTCAGCTTATACCCTGCTCCTTTTTCTACTGACCTGGAAATAAATAAGCTCTCCTGGTATAAAGTCACTAGCGGAGAGGTTGAGAAAGCAGATGGGGAAAGAGGGAGGTCCCACCTATGGTGGTGTGGTCCTGCTCCTTACCTGGCACGGCTCTGCAGCTTCTTAGATGGCTTCACCAATGTCTTCAGCGTGCTAGCCTGGTGGGACCAGGCGCAACCAGAGGGGAAGGGGCGCAGAAAGCTGGAGAGTTTTCTCCTGGGTTAGCGAGGGTAGGTTGTGGGAGGGTCTGATGAGCAACAGAGCTGGCACGAGGGAGGGAACAGATTGCATGACTGAGCCTGGGAAGGGGGGCAGGATCTCCCCCTTTCCGTGGCAGCAAGCCACTAGGTCAGCTCAGATAGCGCCACTGCGGCATCATCCAGCTCCTCCGGGTCTGGACTGAGCAGCTCCTGGTCTGAGCTGTCATCCCTTCACTTCTACTGCTTTCAGTTTTTGCTGGCTGCCTAGCCCAGCTCAACAACATGATGCCCTCTGAAGTGCTCATGCCCCATACTGGCACAGACTGGGTTTACTGGAGTAAGCTTTAGGGTCTAGACGTTATATGTTTCAAGGAAACTCTTAGACTGCAACCCAAGGAAAGCAAACAGAGGATGGGAAGGAGATTGGGCAAAATAACAGCCTTGGTGGGTTTTGTTCTCCAGATCTTTGAAGAAGGGTGATGTTGAGGGTGAAGTGGAGGGAAAAAAAACCAGGACCCACTGCTTTCCTGCCTTGTTCTGTATTATTTTTTTAGATTTTTCTTCCTCTCGGGTCCTTGCCCTTTCCGACTGTAAATTGGATCCATGAGGCTTAATGCAGTAATATTGGTAAAATGCTCTGAGACCTTCTAGTGGAAGTCATAGAGATGAATTATAATTAGCACAAAAATTGGCAGACTTAGCAGGGGAAAAATGTGAAGCACTTGATTTTTGTGGCGCTTGATAAGATTTGGGGTAAAGGCTGATCTCTAATACAGAGAGCTTTAACTTACACCTATGATTAAAATAGTCCCTCGCTCCTCCATGATGCAAACGTAATTTCTTCAGCTTATACCCTGCTCCTTTTTCTACTGACCTGGAAATAAATAAACTCTCCTGGTATAAAGTCACTAGCGGAGAGGTTGAGAAAGCAGATGGGGAAAGAGGGAGGTCCCACCTATGGTGGCGTGGTCCTGCTCCTTACCTGGCACGGCTCTGCAGCTTCTTAGATGGCTTCACCAATGTCTTCAGCGTGCTAGCCTGGTGGGACCAGGCGCAACCGGAGGGGAAGGGGCGCAGAAAGCTGGAGAGTTTTCTCCTGGGTTAGCGAGGGTAGGTTGTGGGAGGGTCTGATGAGCAACAGAGCTGGCACGAGGGAGGGAACAGATTGCATGACTGAGCCTGGGAAGGGGGGCAGGATCTCCCCCTTTCCGTGGCAGCAAGCCACTAGGTCAGCTCAGATAGCGCCACTGCGGCATCATCCAGCTCCTCCGGGTCTGGACTGAGCAGCTCCTGGTCTGAGCTGTCATCCCTTCACTTCTACTGCTTTCAGTTTTTGCTGGCTGCCTAGCCCAGCTCAACAACATGATGCCCTCTGAAGTGCTCATGCCCCATACTGGCACAGACTGGGTTTACTGGAGTAAGCTTTAGGGTCTAGACGTTATATGTTTCAAGGAAACTCTTAGACTGCAACCCAAGGAAAGCAAACAGAGGATGGGAAGGAGATTGGGCAAAAAATCAGGAGGCTGCTCCAGCTGATGCTTGGAGCATCAGGTGTAGGTCTACAGATGTCCCCGTGGTGGTACGGAGCTGGTGGAGGTGAGTGCAGCCCGTCACGCCAGGCATGGCTTCTACCCTAACCTGGCAGATGTCTTAGATGTGATTTTATTTTTTTTTCCATCCCAAAACAGCGTATTAAAATGCATGCATCTCTTTTTTTTTTTCTTTTTTTAATAGGTTACATTCCCTTTGGAACGCCCATCGTAAGTATTTTAACATCTCTCCCCGCTTTGTTTGCGAGTACCAAGAAGCGCATTTTTTAGCAGTCGCAGGCAGTTCTCCAAATTCCACCTTACCTCCTCGCCACACGTTCGCGCAGGGTTCCCACCTTCCCCATCGCACGTTCGCAAGGGCTCCGTCGTGTAAAACCTGCCCTACAGACGTTGTGCTCAGGGTCAGTTACCTATTTACCGTCCTTCGCCCAGCCCCCTGCCGCGTCTTCAACTTCATCTTTCCCTTCTGGAAAGGGAAGACCAAGATGAGCTCATTGCCTGCAAAATGCAACTTCTGCAACTCTCAGATTTCATCTCCGGACACTTTTTTTTTTTTTTTTTTCCCCCCCATTTGCATGTTTTACAAGTTGCTTCCCAAACGTGACGAACTACAGCACGGCGAGGCCCGTGTCGTGCGCTCTCGTCTCGATTAATTAAAGCGGCGAGTGCTTTCCGTGGGGCTATTGCTAAGGGCTTTTTTAGTTTGTGGTTGTGATTGTGAAATTTGTAAGCGTTTGGGTGCTCTCGATAGCGAAAGCCAGACGGGATATAATCCTGCCTGTCTTCCTCATGCTGAAACCTCAGCTCGTCTTTGGGAACAGCCACGGTTAATTAACCCCATTTTATGAATGGGGAAACTGAGGCATGCGGTTTTGCCCCACATCACCCAAAGTTGGTGCCAGAAGGTAGCTGGCCTTCCTAGCCACCAGTTCTTGGCTCAGCTTATTAGATCACGCGTGTTAAAATGGTGGAGGGAGCAAAATCTGCTGAATTCAGTCTTCCCAAACCTGGTGGTCCGTGGCATAGTGCTCACTCAAAGGTAAGGATCCGTTCCCAAACGGCGATAGTGGGGTCGCTAGCGCCTAAAGGCAGAAATCATCGTGGCTGTTACTATTTGTTGTCGTGCGTGAGGGTTTGGTGGTAACTTTGTATGGGGCATTTTAAAAGAAAAGGTTAAACAAAAATGAGTTAACGATCAAATTGACAATGAAATCGGCCCAAATCCAGAGCTGTCAGAGGAGCCGAGAGCTGTCAGATGAGCCCAATTTCACTAGCTGTAAAGGATAAACTGGATGCTCTTGTCATTTAAAAAAAAAAAAAAAAAAAAAGAAAAAAGAAAAAAAAAAGAAAAAAAACCCCAAACGTTTCAAATGTTAAAATTAAAATGTAACATTTATGCCAATCGATCTGTGAAATTTAGTGACAAAATTGGCAGCCTGCTCTAGCATAAAAACAGTTTGAGTCTTGCATTTCACATAGGGGGATGGGGTTTTTTATATTCTTTCATCATTATCATTATATTCTTTTTTCCTGTCCTATTAAATTGTCTATCTCAACCCATGCCATTGCTGCCCATATATATGATTTTTTTTTTTTTTTCCCCCCACCCCCCTATAGCTAATGCAAAATAATTCAGGATGGTTTAGCTCACTGTGAAAGAGATTAAGGTCTTGCTGAAAATAATCGTTTCTTTCCGGGCCAAAGCGCCTCCCCCCCTGACACAACCAAATCCTGCGGCTGTTTATTCTTTCCCCGAGTCGCCGTTGTTTGCTTTTCGTTTTAGCCTCCGTCCTTTCCACGCTCAGGTTTATGGTCCGACCCCAGAATCGTTTGTGGTGAGAACAGGATGGGCTACACGTAGGTGTAGGGAGAGTTTGTGCTTGCCCACCTTCATTTCAGCCCGGGAGGGGGCAAATCCAGCCCTGCTTTGCTGCAGGGGCGAGACGTGCGAGGCGGCTGCTGGGCTGTAGCCTTCTGCCCTGGGTTTGTGTTTCATCCCAGGGATGAAAGGCTCCAAGGGGGAAGCTTGATCTGCATTTAGGAAATTCAGCCCAAGGCTCGGGCAGCGGGGATGGAGCTGAAGCCGCGCTGCTGTTCCCAGCTGCCACCTTTAAGCACCCAGCCATTTAAAGAGTGGGGGGGTCTTGCTGAGGTTTCCCAGTGCGTAGAGAAGACCTGCGTGTTCATTCGGGGTTGCAGATGACTCTTGCTGGCACATGAGCAGGACTTGGGGCTTGCAAGAGGACAGCTCATAGCGCAAACGTGCCGCGAGGCTGCTCGGAGCCGACAGATGCCCGAGTGGTGGCTTTAGCCCTGGCTTTGGGGCCATGAAGGGCCGTTCACACCTGATAAGGCAATTAAATTTTATAGCTGGTACTTTTCTAGTGTTTAGGAGCAATTTTTTTTTTATTTTTTTTATTTTGTTTTCCTTCTTAGTTATTTTTTCCCCTGCCAGTAATTAAAAGTGAAACTGTACATTTCTTGACAGACTCTTGCACATATGGAGAGTTTGCATTTAAACGTGCCTCTTTCAGTCATACAGATTTTGGGTGCTCTTTTTTATTTATTTATTTTCCTCTTTTTATTTTTCTCGGCCCTCAGCTTCAGCTGACGATGTAAGTAGCTGCCTGCAGTCTTCCCTCTCCTCCGGAGCCTCATTAGCCCGCTGGCTTCAGGGCCGTAAGTCAGGCCTGGGGTGAGGAGGTTCATCGCTTGTTGAATTTGTTTGGCTAAGACTGGCAACGGCGTAATTAATGACAAGATCCGCATATTGAATGGAAGCGGTAAATTAGTGTAACTTGCACAGCTTGGCGCTCGGCCAGCGTACAAAGTAGCTGTAACTTCACGGAAGGCTGTAGGAGGAAAGGAGGAGGAGGAGAAAGGAAAGAAGATGTAAATGAAATCAGGCCTCCCAACCCTATTACCCTTTTGTTTGTTGTTATTTCTCTCTTACGTCCTTAAGCATAGAAGTTGCCTCCTCTTCAACTGATGCTGCTGCAGATGTGCGGAGATGGCTTTAGCTTATCCCTCCTTGCGGCAGGCTCCCCGTGCTCTAACAGGGAAGTTTTCTTTCTTCTCAGCTTCTGTAGGGATAAACTTAAAGCAAATGGTGCAGAAGATGGTCTGAGTGTGGGAAAGAACTCGCAGCCTTCTCACCCAGATGCCTCGAAGGCGTTTTAGTTCACCTGACTGTCCTGAAAAGAAAAGTATTTGAAATTAAAAGGAGTTGTTCAGCCTTTATACTCTTAACAAAGACGCAAGTGTGATTTTGCAACAAGAAGCCCATCTTCTTCAGAAAATATCAGACATTTAAGGTGCAGGACAGGAGAAAAGGACAATGACGTTAGCGAGGTGTCTCATCTTACCTGTTTCTTACCCAAGAACTCATCTCCTGTCCATGTTTGTTGGGTTTATCGTTGAGAGTCCCCTTGCTTTGTATCCCTCTCCTCTTCTTCAACTTCTTATGCTTCAAGAGGAAGGATTGCCATAAAACAAGCTAGGAACGAGTCTGGCAGTGCTGCATTTTGGGTAAGAGATGAGGCCTTCAAAGAATTGCAGAGCGTGTGCCCAAAAGGTATACTGAAACGTCCCAAGGATGATCTCAGGACTCTGTAGGCACCATACATGCATGCAGCCTTGGGTGCCGCGATGGGTGACCTTGACAATGGATGCCTGTGGCATCTCGCGTTTACACAGCAGCTGGCCAGATGTGCTGGGGCAGGCTACCGTAAGGCTCTGGGAGTTGGTGATTGTCAGCCTGAGCTCAGAATTCGAGCGTGAGTTTTTGCAGCTCGGAGTATGACACATCAACAATTCTCTGCTCATAAAACAAAACTCAGGCTCCTAAACAGGAGCACATGTGCTTCCAGGTGGCACTCCTGTCTTCAGATGTTCAAATCGGATTTCTTCCTTGTGCTTGAAAGAGCGAATGTGCTAAATCTGGGTATCAGTGGCCAAAAAAAAAAAACCCCCCCCCCCCCAATAGTAACAACTTTGAACTCTTGCCTTCATGCAATGTTTGTCTTACCTTCCAGTAATACCTGGATTAAAGAATTGATTATATTTTAATGAACTAATCTTTGGTCAGTATCTCCTACCAGACTCTTTTCAAGGTGCGTCGCAAGCAATAATGATAGATGGAAAACTTCCACGGGCAGCTACGTTACCCAGTTTCACCACTGGAAAATTGAGAGACGATAGGCTGAAGGGAAGTTCAATAACTTGAATGAAATAAAGCCATAAATGAAGATAATTTATTCAAGTCATTAGAAATGAGCTTGCTGTTTGCATGCCTAGAAGTGCACTGAGAGCAAACCAATTTGCTAATGAGAAAAATCTCTTCTCTTGCAGGTTGTTGGTCTTCTCTTGCCCAACCAGACACTGGCATCCACTGTGTTTTGGCAGGTAACACTTGTCAGAATGGGTGGAGAATGTGATGGAAAGGAAAACAGGAGCTGACTTGTGTCTAGAGGACAAACTGACTCACATGGCTTTTCTGCGCTGGCCATGCTTTGGTTAAAGAGGAGATGATGCGGCTGGATATAATTAGGGAAAGGTTTGGTAGGTCTGGAAGGGGCTATTGCAAACTATGGGGTCCCCTTTCCAGCACCCAGCTATTTATGCCATTTCAAGGGAGATGCAAAGTAGCCTGGGATCTCAAATTCAGCTTTTTGGACCCATTTTGTGCAGGTGTAAATGATTGCACAGTGTATACTTCCATGAAAATGTAGGCTCTTAAGCTCACACATCTGCTGTTTTGAAGACACCTTGTCAAGGAGTTGGGATCTTCCTTGGTGAATTCCCGTTGGAAGTGCAACGCGTGCGCAAGGCTGGGGGCAGGGGGAGGCCCCGTGCCCAGAAATTTCGGGAATAGCTGTGCATTACAAAGGCAAGGACCTTTGCATTCAATGTGTTTGGGGAAGAAAAGCGTGTGTGTAGGGAGGTGTTGGTGTTATTTCCCATTAAAATTCTGGGAATTAATGAGGGGAGGAAGGACGCGCGTGTGAATGAGTTTTATCCATAGTAAACACCCCACTTCAATATAATTTCAGCACTAACTGAAATGCAAAACCAAGTTACTTTCAGACTTATTTTTAGTTGTGAATGTCTTTTTATTGTCTGCAGTGTAAGTGATGATAGAGAATTATGCGGTTAAGAAATATCAAAGCAGAATGGGATCTGCCTAGTATGTTAGAAAGACTGCAGAACCGAGAATATATTGGTACGTGCCAGTAACTCGTGGCTTGGCGTATTTAGCTAGAAGTTGTGCCATGTGGCTTTACCTGCTGGGAGTGGGATAGTGGCTGGAGGCATCTAGACTCATTCATATTTTTGAAGGCAACTTGCCTCACCTGGTTTTAGACATCTACAGTGGAAAGAGTCGACTTTGGAGAAGTTACTCTTGCATGAGTGAGGAGCGAGCCAGCCCGGATAGCTGGCTTGGGCTGGGTGTCTTGTGAATGGCTTCCATGAGGAGCTCCTATTCCCACCATCATGGCGTAGCTGGGAGAAACTATTGGCTTTAAAAGGATGGATTAATCCTTTTGAAACTGGAAAGAATATTTCAAATGCAGAACCAAAACGAGCCCGCTCAGGGAGGAAGTCGTAGCAGGCGAGTCTGGTGGTCGTAGCCTGTCTGAGCTGCTGCCACTTGACGAGCGGCTCTCAAACTCTTCCCCCCACCATGATGGGCACATGGGTCACCCCTTTCTGAAAATGCAAGGAGGAGAAGTAGCCACCTAGAGAGGCATCACCCAAAAAGCCCAGGAGGGTGGCAGGCGGCCACCTGGGAGGACGATGGAGTTGAGAAACAGGTAGTGGGGATGTCTTCAACCTAGACACGGCTTAAGCTCTAGATTAGGGACAATATCTGAGCAGTATGTCTACATCTCTCTGAAAAGGAGATTTGTCCAGGTAAATAGCACAGGATTTAGGGACGATGCATATTACTGCATTAACCAACGCAAGGAGCTGGCTTGTACATTGAAGCAGTTGTTGCTGATGCCCAACTGTACATGTCTCAGGTTAGCCCTAGCCTGGTCCTGTGGACCTGCTAATATAGATAGGAGCTGTGGGGATTAAAAAAAATCCCACATCTGGAAAACTGAGGCAGATTTCCAGCACATACTGGCAAGCTGCCTCTGTAATTTCTTAATTATTATTTAAAGAAAACAAAAAAGCAAGGTTTGCTA